ATTAAATGATGTCAATAAAACGAGAACAGTGCCATTTAACGATAGATTACGAAATAAAAGGTATAAATAGGCTAAGAACAGTATTATCTAGGAATTTGATTTATATTTAACAAGCATATCCTTATGATTAATATGGTAGTTATCATCACAGTGACGTCATAGAATGGCAGGTTCTGTTTCAAGTCACGTGACATAGAAGCAAAAAAAAAACAACTTTTAATTTTAAAATAATAAGGTAAAAAATGGATGCGGGAGGCGCAGGATCGATCACGTTGGAGATCTTCGGGCCTATGCCCAGCAGTGGGCGTCTCTCGGCTGATATGATTATGTAAAAAAATCTTACGATGTAAATTTTAGTTGCGCAATTTCATGAATTATTTTTCACTACCAAAACTACCATATTGTAATATAATTGTCATGACATTAATGTTCATAGCTTACAGAGATTTTATCTCATAACAGGTAGTTCAAGTTGCCAGATGACTCTGTGTCGAAATGATCCTTTATTTTGAATGTCTACTGTAAAACATAATATTAAAAAAAAACAATTTTCATGATTAAACGATATTCTCTTTGTCAGATTGAGATTTTTAACGCGACTTTTCGTATGTCTACCATTAGCTATTTTTTCTATTTTTTTTAAGAACTAGAAAAAATGGCTAATCGTTAAGATAAACGAATTATGAATAAATAAATAAAAAAATGGAAATCACCTATTAGCTTTTATCGCGCGATTTCGATCGCTAGACACTATGTCGCCTGCGTATGATATAGTTTCTAGTAGGTGAAAGAATTTTTTAAAAGTATTTTCAGAACGTGTTCAATACAAACAAACAAATTTCGTGACACTTGTACTGGGAAAAGTTAAACAGTTTATTTCTTATAATAATTTTAAATCTTTTTCCTGTGGTGTTTAGATTTGACCTTTTAACCGACGATATATTTATTACGAGTAAGTTTTCATTATGTAAGTACTACTTCGATTTATAGATCGTGATTAGATTGTTAGATGTACCAATATGCGCTTGTAATTCAGTGACGCGTATTGCTTACATTCTCTTTGCAGTAGTTCATAGACACAAAAGAGCTGTTTGTGTTTCAGGCTCATGATTAGAGTTTCTGCAAACCTTAATATCAATGGCTTTGATCATCTGTTAGGTTTGCAGTTTCCGATTTAGACTGGAGCAGGGAAAACAATTTTGTAATAATGTTGTGTGAAATGAAACATCTTAGACAACATCGCATATAGTTTTCCGGTCCTAGAATGGTGTGTTGGATATTAAAACAAGTACACTTAAACCAGAATCAATACAAAGAGAGAAAATACATTGGCGACATAAAGTAAAACTACGATTGTGCGACATCTAGCTGTTTACAATAATATTTGCTTTTTATAATAATAATATGGATAAAACTACAAAATGCTAGCAATTTCGTTTGCAAAAACTAGGTAGTTTTGAAGTTTTGATATTGTCAAATTGTTAGCTAGAGTTAGTTTTATAATATTAGTATAGATAAAACTAGAAAGTGTTGGCAATTTTATTTGTACAATAGGTAGGTTTAATCCTGTCAAAATGAACTTATTATATAATGGTTTCTATAACTTTTCTGTGTTATGTGATCCCTATACATTAGCATATACTCGTATGTTCAAGAACAAGGTCCAATTAAACCCACATTTAATTCAGTCAAGATAGCGGCACAACAGAATTGGCACCAGTTTAATGAGTGGCGGCTAAAAATAGATACTTTGTTATTTAACTACTTACGACTTACAAGCTTTTATTTAACTTACAATGTATGTACATCGTGATCGTCAAATATTTTAAAGCAGTTATTTTAAAACTGATTAAGCTTTTATATAGGTACAGATTTAGTTTAGATAACAATTAATGATTAGCTAAATTACATAATTTTTAATCTAATACGGCGGACGGCGCATGAGTGTAGCTCTAAGTAATTATTTTTCATAATTTACTGAAGATTACGTTTTTATATAAAACCTTGTAGCTATTATTTTTCTATTAGGAAAAATAATAAACCGCATAACTGATCAATAATCAAATTGCAGACATAAAAATAAGATCTAAGATTATCCTCTCTTCATACACTCATGAGATATAATATTTCTTAAATGCTGGACTTATTAAAATAAATTGTATTATAAACACATTAATTATTCATACATAATAAAAGAAAAACAGTATTATATTAACAGTAAAAAGGTTTGAAATTAGTCCCTGAACTTTTGATTAATTAATCTTAAACCAAAATGACCTTTAAATAATGACGAGATCTCGATCCTTATAACTATTTTCAAACTTCGCCTTCTGTAGAGAGGGACATCCGGGCGTTTCAGTGGGTATGTCTTCGCTCCCCTGAGGGGTAGATCCACAAGAAAGAGTATCTGATAACCTCGCTCACGAGAAGTGCGCGGTATTAGTATTACATAACTCTCACCAATAATGTTTAGCTTTAAGTAGACTATCGATTATACTTTGCAAATTTATTAAATTCTTAGCAGTACAGTGTGTTAGTTTTAATTTGATCACACAACTTTCATCTTCGTTGCTCCAGATGACATTAATTAGGTATATGGAAAGTCTTCTTCCATGTTCCGCTTGCTTTTACAATATGAGCTAATAATAGCTCATTAATTATATTTTGCTACGCTCCCATCGTAATTCTTTCCCTCTCTCTCGCTTCCTCTTTATTCTTTGTATTAAATTGAATAGATAAGTTATCGATACAAGGATAATATGGCCTATTTCAATTGTTTGTCGTTGTGTTTTAAGATGTTATACGTATCTAATATGTAAATTTCGATCACGAGAGAATTTAATACTAATACAACAGCAACTCTATCGCGTAATTGAAGTCTCAAATAGAAGCAAAGATTGAACTGTATAATTTTGAAGTTTTTCTGCCTGATGGATCATTTAGGGCTTCATTTTGATAGTTCGAACAGGGTGTCAGAGCTGCTGGCGATTGTTTATTGCTACATATTAATTATTACATGCGTTGGATAGATTAAGTAACTTTAGAAAGGTTCAATCATTTGGTTTATGATTATGATAAAATTTTTAATTAGATTTGTAAATAAATAAGGAAATATGTTACTACCAGTATTATTATTTACAAACATTCAATTCATTTATATATGTTACATGTGCAGTCAATATTTACTTGTCCTACGCTTTTACTCAACTGTTTGACCTAAGCTTGTTATAAATTCGTATTTGCCTAATTAAAACTCACTGCAGCTTAATACGGATATCTACTGCGCTACATTGATGTTTTGTTTGCTAGGGGAACCCTAATGGAATCACTCTGCGATACAAATCTAGCATGTAACTATAAGTATAAGTAATCATGTTATCCATTTCTGGCAAATAATTGTTTTGATCAATGAGCACGTACAGCGATGACATTTCCTATTTGATAATCGGCATCGCGATATTATTAACTTAACACCGCCGAGTGATGAAATATGAACATTATTGCTGGGAGATTCCCTTTTCGATTTAATTCGATTAAATCCTTATGAAAGGCCTGAGCCCCGGCAAAAAATCGTAAAAAGTCTCCTCTAACGTAAAAAACTAATAATGATATTAGCTGGTTTCCCGCGATATCGCTCACGTGGATCATAACCTATGTTTCCCACGTATAATGAATCTTTCCATTGGTTTTTAAAATCAGCTTGAGAGTCTATTGGATAGAAATAAATAAACAATTAAACATTTCTTCTTTATAATATTAGTACAAATAACATTAATTTCATACTCGACGTATGATCCGTTGCTTTCTTGAGTCTTACTTCAAATTGAAATCTTTAAATGGTAGATCGATAAAAAAACATGAAACTGTACTTTTAACTGTACTTACGTACCCAATTACGCGTTATCTGACGCTATTGCCCCGAGCGTTACAGACGGCGACGTGTGTTGCTACAATTTGCAATAACATCTCATCATATAAAAACGAATTAAATGTTTGGTAAGTAAAAAAGAAAAATATTAATAACGTAAACACAGGCGACAAATGTACCTATCTTGACTAGTAATTAGGCTGTATTCTTCATATTCTTAATATTTGTTGATAAGTTGCTATTGTGTGTCATCGTGCCAACATTAGAACTGTGTAATCTGATATTTGTTGTCCAGGTCAACATCAGGTTTGAAGAGATTCACAATTTTGCGTTGATTTAACTAGATAACTAAAACCAACGTAAAATTTCTAATGATCGTAACAGATATTGCTAATTGATCCAACCCTATTGCCCTTCCACATAACGTTAACGTATATGTTATCAAAGATTTTCTTTATTAATTTCGATGCATATTGTGTATTTTCAACTATTAAAGTTAAGAAATTATTTCTTTAAAGATGGTTCGATGATTCCGCGACGCTTAAAGTATCTTTGGGCTAATATAATATAATTTGATTAACCATACTTGACTTATAAAATAAAAACAACTGACAACCACGTTTTGCTGTAAGACCTCATATCACGAACATTCTCTATCAAAATGAAGTATCTTAAGATCTAAATCACGAATTCTCTGTGCGCTTAAATTTGTGTGTGCTTAGTCATTTTATAATGTAGATCTCACAATCATATTATGGCTTAAGTGACTGTAAGGTACAAAGTCAATGTTTGTCATACATAACTCAATTCAGACGACGTAACGGCGTCACAGAATAGACACAGAACGGAATTTAAAAACGAATGGGTGAAACAAAGTGAGTCCCGACTTACTTTGTTTTATTTTAATGGTCGAGTTTTTCAAAGAATCACCGTTCATATAAAAACTGTTTTTTTTTTTAAATACAACAATAGACGACGGTGAATCGACTTTTAACAATTGAAGATAAAAGTATTTCACTAAATTTTTGTTGTTGCGATGTGCCATGGCGTATGCCACGGCTTAATAAAACCAATGTTCAGTTAGTGGTTGTTAAATGTACAAAACCAATATTCCCAATTCGATTGCTACAAGATGCTGTACGAGGTATATTATTATTAATATACAGATGTCAAACATAAACAATTGGTTATATAGGTATGTAAAATGGTGTTGATATGAAAGGCGATGTCACTGGGTAGGTATTTCCATTTGCTTTTAATTTAAAATCTAGTGTTCAAGCAAATTATCTATGAGCTGTTTTCCCACCACTTCGCTCGCGTATGTCACGCACGTTTGACATGATGTAAAAAAGTAAAATGATGTAAAAAAAAAAAGAAAATACGGTTCAGGAGTTTCGTAGCCTATTCTATGCAAACAAATAAATATTTCTTCTATAATCTTAGTATAGAGATGCGGTCCAATTCTTCCTGTTGTAATAAAATAAATAATACATTTATTAAGTAAATAATAATATAAGTAAATCGACTTTAGCAGATTAATAAATAAGCAGGCTATTTTTGGATCTTATTGTTTCTTTTAGTATCATTTTTTTTTCTAGTTACTAAGTTACATGTAAAGGTCTTTGTTCCATTTTTATGTCATCAATTTAGAACGAACTGAAATGTGTCCGACACTGATGATTACAGTATCACCGTCTAGCAACATATATTTATAGCAGCTTCTTTTTTAATCAATGGCTAAAATAGTAAGACCCTCCACGAGACTGAGAAGTTTATATTTTTCCTTTACTTACCACAGACGAGACCTGATTGGCGTTTATGACCTCGTTCGGCGGTCAACACGTTAAAGGAATAGCGTTTAAATTTTAAGCTTAATGTGACAAATTAGCAAATAATGAACGCATCAACAGGCGCTCCTTATTTCAAATGTACAGTAGCAATAAAAACTTAACTCGCCACTGTACTTGTTGCAGAGTAAATCATTCTGGCACCGAGACCGGCTGGTGTTAATACGAGTATTCTGTGTCTATTCACCATTTAATTATATGTATACATTGCGGTTATAGTTAATTCCTGCTTTTCAATGTACCAAGGTCATTTGTGTGATGTCTCTATGATATGACTGTCCTTTGTTTTGTTCTATTAATGCATTCTTAGCTTTGACCACTTGAACTAATGGGTTCAAATTTATCACTTATTTAAATACTCTTGTCATGGATTGTCGATTAAAGTTAGTTGTTTCAAAACTCATTGTGATCATAATGTCATACATTGTAGTTTTTACTATTATATTATGCCTGTATGTTAACGTGTATAATTCGATATTCTATTATGACATAGGTGTCTAGTTCTTTAATAGGACAGAGAGGCTCAGGTAATTTCTAGATTATTATATGCAAATTAGCAACATATATAATAAAAGGTTTTTTATAACTAATTAAAGAAATTGACATAAATATTTAGTACTAACCAAACCTTACACAATATTTAATTGTGTAAGGTTTAAAAATAATATTTACGAAAAAAAAAATATTTACGAGTAAAAAATTGCAAATATGCTATTGTATGTGAAAGTGGAAACTGTAGGTAATCCTATGGTACCTAGGTATGTGACAGACTGTAATATTCATAATATTTACCTTTATAGATATTCTATTAATTGCTTAGATAGGTACTTGATAAACATCTGAATTGTATAAATAACAGGAAGGTAACGTTTAAGTATCAACTTAGGTCATCAGTTATCTTATCACATAAGATTTTTATAGACCAAAGTTGTTCTATGAAATTAATATAGAAGTAAGTAATTTATTTATACCTTATTGTCTACATAATATTACACATTATAATAATGTATTTTGTGTGAGAAAATCTGTAGAATGAGTTCTAATATACCAAAGCTACCATCACATTATAATAGGGATGATGACTAATTATTTGTTTGTTTGTCCGTCAGGTAGAGTGATAAAAAATATTAAACACGTTTTTTTTTTCGTAAACATAAAATTACGTCGTAACATTGAGTTGAAATTTCGCATGACGTCACGTTAGAGTACGTTTTCTACTCAATTGTGACCTAGCGAAACCCCACTCCTCAACTTTAATGCCTGTTATCTATACTATTTCTTGTTAAATTTAAAATTAAAAACAGTGAGCAAATCTTAAATACATATGCATTCCTTTAACCAAGTTAGTTAACTTTGAGAATCTGTAAATTTGCTGGTGCTTAATGCTCAGGTATTCCTTTTTTAAGCACCAGCTGTGTATTTGATTGTAACCCTAAGATAACTAAGCCTAGTACCTCTGTTCATGTAAAAAATGTAATCATGAAGTCAATAAACAATATTATTATATATTATTATTTTATTAAATTGAAGTAATAAAAAATACGTATCTAATATTTTTCTATTATCTGACTGACGGACTAAAAAGAATTGCATTTTTTTTATCCAGTCATCATCCCTACTGAATCTCGTTTTTAGGATAAATTATAGGTATCATAAATAAAAAAAAATGCAGTATCAGATAAACATGCAAATATGCCTTAAAACTTGAAGCCAATCTCTTTCTACTACAATCTGATATGTTTCTAACTAAATTTACGAGCCGATGGCGTACTCCGTAAGTGCTTGTAAAACAGCCACAACTCTAGAAACTAATAATGACTTCACTTGCTTAGTTATTTATCCTAAAGTAATTACGCTGAAACAAACATTGCGAAAGCAGTATGTAAATGTTTCTAAATGCATATATTCAGTGGATTTTACTAACACTATGTTACTGTAAAAGGAAATGTTTCATGCAATTTGTCTTCAAGGAATAATAAATTTCGAGTCGAGTCAAATGTGTTGGTAGATATGCATATAACGTAACAACTTGTAATTTAAGCTGATTATTTTTATGTATACAGATTTGCGGCGTCGTATTAGTGTCGATTCACCGGAATGCTCATCAAGCCTCACATCACATCCGGAATCATCACAGGAGATACTAACGTGTTCCTCCCAACAGAAGTCGCGTTCCTCTGTACAATCTCCTCTATTGAATGTTAATAAAAAACTAAGTGTAACCAGCACAACATCAGCTGAAACAAATAAGACAGGTGACAGCGAATTAAAACCGGCACTCCGTAAAACTTCGAGCCCTAAACGTAATGATAATATAAGAAAACAACCAAAGAATGAGTCAGGTAAAGAAAACATTGTTAACATCCAAAAAAATTCATTAGGCAATCAAAATCTTAAAAAGCGAGTTATTTCCTTTGAAGAAGAACAACCACATACTTCAAATACAGAACCCTCCACATCAGTACCAAAACCACAAACATTTGATTCATATGATTCGATTGACCGAAGAGACCAAGCTTCTACATCACGTAGTCAACCGGAGGAGGAAAAGACAAAGCTTAAAAAGAGTGCATCCTTTGAATCTTTATCGAGCGTTTCTTGCAAATCTGAACTCATTGATACTCCAATTGAGTGTTATATATATGAAAAAACCACAAAGCCACATCAAGATAAGGAACATGGTGTAAATACAGAACTTCAATATGCTCTTTCTCAGTCTATTCCTGTTAGTTCCGAAACTTTATACGACGGAACTCTTTCGGAAGATAACGATACTTACCCTCAGAGGCAACGCTCTGCATCAGTGAACTTAGATAAAACGCCCCCCTCACCTGCGCCAGCTACACCATTAGCACATAAAAACATTTATTGGCAAAGGCGTGCACATTCCTGTGAACGAGTAGAGACCCAATTGAAGACAGATGATTATGAATTTTGGCTTAAGCATAAACAAGAAAATGAGACAACATTTACAGCGGGCCCACGCCACGTCTATTTGAAAGTTCCTTATGGCAAAAAATACAGCTTGCATTATGAAACGCTAAAACAAAATAGACAAAAAGAAAATCCAACGGTTGAGTTGAAACGCTATCGCGAACAGTCGTCGTCTACGCAGCGTGCTTTTGCTGAAAGAATTTATGATCAATTTCATTCTAATCGTCGTAATTTAACCAAGGAAAATAATCGGTCGTCAATGGGGAAGATGAACTCTATGGACGACCATGAACGAAAAATTATAATCGAGTTTTGCCATCTATTAGAAAAATCAAAGCAGCTGTTTAATGGTCTCAGGTAAGATTTTTTATATAATGTTTGTAGACAATAAAACAACGTTCCTTATAAAACAAAACTACCCCCAGGGATTGTTACATTTGAATCTTTCAAACTACGCAAGGAATTGAAATGCGATCTTGATCTATAGATAGAAATATACATTACGTTAATATGTATAACACAATACATGTGTAAAAGTTGAAATAGTTTACTACGTAATCGGTATTTTATAAAAATTAATAAAATGCCCGTAATACTTTATACCTTCTAAGGATATATCTGGTTAATCACTTATAATAACCATTATTTATCATATATCATTTATGTATTATCAAAAAGTAATGGGTAATTTTTGATACTATTTTAAACAATGAAATAATGTTCATAATAATTTTTCCTTAAGAATATAATTAATTAAAGCATTGTAAATGCGAAATTGATCAAATATAATAAATACAACAAACTTTCATCTTTATCGAAAGTTTAAATATTTGTAATAATATTTCTTTCGGCTGTTTGGGTGGATTGCCTGAACATTGATGAAAATACGCTCTGTAATAGCGAAAAGTAACAAGTGCTTGAAAAATTCGTAAATTCTGTTTTTTTTTAATTGCCCAACATAACAATCTAGGGCCGAGCATCCTACTTTATCCCCACTAATGAGCAGGACCTGACTATTCTATTTTCCTCTTTTATTCTAGTTCTCACATCTTTACTTCCTTCCATTCCACATACTATATCTTTCTTTTTCTTTTTCTTCTTTCATTCCTTTCCGGCCAGGATCACCGTTCCCATTCTAGTTTTATTCTCTATTTATATTTCTTATCCTTTATTTAAAGATCACACATACAGAGGATTTCTTAATTTAGGATTAGCTTACTTATTATCTTTTATTTTCCTTTTATATTTTAATTCAATAAGAATATTTATAAATATATACAATTTAAAATTAGTGTCTTATAAATATATCTAAATCAGTTAGTAATGACGATTTTTACATTGCATTAAAGGATTTTATAAATTTTATTAACATAAAATGTGCTTTCAGAGAATTGCCCCAGTATGGGCATAAAAACTGGTCTTCATACTTTGGAAGAACATTCGATATTTACACGCGACTGTGGAAGTATCAGCAACAACACCGTGCTATTTTAGACTCCAAATATGGTATGAAACGTTGGCAGATCGGTGAAATCGCTTCAAAGATCGGACAATTGTATTATCACTTCTAGTAAGTCTAAACATATAAACCGACATCGGTGTCAATATTTCGGTACTTACGTGACTACACGCAAAAAAATTTTTCTTATGTTTTAGTCTGAGAACTAGTGACACCAATTATCTCAACGAAGCATACTCTTTCTATCATGCAATCAGAGGACGATGTTATTATACTAAAGCAAATAAAGAGGATAAATGCGAGCTGATGGTGAAAAAATTAAGATATTATGCCAGATTTATCGTGGTTTGTCTGTTGCTGAAAAAGATGAAGTTGGTTAAAGAGTTGATTAAGGAACTCGATAGGCAGATCATAGAATATGGTAACACCTATGACCCCGACGACCAGGTCGAGTGGACGGTCGTAGTCGATGAAGTAAAAGCTTTCATTCATGCGGAACCTGCGGTGGCAATTATTGATCATGATAACTACACTGTCATAGTTTCTAACAGGTTGGTAAATAGCATTATTTGAATCTTGGTTCTTTATTATGGATTATATATCATTGAAAACTGCGACAAATTAAATTAACTTTGTAATTCAAGTCAAATCGTAATAACATTTTTTTTTATTCTTAACTATTTTGCAGACTCACACCGATGACGACACCTGCGGTCGAAAGAACACCTCAAATGAACTTAACGCTCCAGGAGATCTTGATAGTAGGCAGCAGCTCACACCAGGTGAAGTTCTCAGAGCTTACGATAGACATGTTCAGAATGCTACAGACCTTAGAAAGAGAGCCGACTGGCGAGGTGCAACATAATTTCGATGAGTCTCCTCGTGCACGATACACGTCCACACCAAACGCCCATAGCCAAGGTACGATTTCTCTTATTTGTAATGTGAAGATTAAAAAAAGTTATTTTTGTTATAATACATTCATAAGTAAATTATTATTCGTTAGCTGTATATTTGGCTACGCGTACATTGTACAACTATATTTTTGCCGATATATTACCAATTTATGATCTAAATAAATTGAATTTTTAGATTATATGTTTTGTTTATAAAATCTTTAATTGCGAAAGTTATTCAACTGCTGATGCGAATTTCAGTTGCATTGAAAAATAAATTCAAAAAACGTCGTCAAAGCGCAACACCGCAAAAATGTTACACTAATGAAAGACTCTTTATTAAGCTTGAAGCTAATGAAGAATATTCCTATTTAATTAAGTTTCCCATTTCTAAAGAATTTAATGCTAGAATTTAAGAATTTAGCAAAGCTGAAATTGAAAGACTGCGATTTTCATAATCACTGTAAATTAGCTACGGTAAAGCTGTGCTCTAATTGATTTTGTAACACATATTTTCAGGGAATGGAGACGCAAAATGCTGTAGTAATATTATTTCCACGCGATTTAATTAATCTTTTCATGTGTTTTAAGGCTCTTGTTATACAACTGTCCAAAAAAGTGTATTGAGTTTAGGCTTGTTTTATTTAAGTATGTGCGTTTATATCAAGATTTAAAAAGACACACATTTTAAACATATTTTTTTATAAATTATGTTACAAAAACATCTGTAATATCATTTGTTTCTTTATATAAGACTTAGAGCAGCACCCAGAGCATTTCGTTGTTCTAGATGGTATTGAGCCCAAAATGAAAATGCCGAATCCACATAAATATCTTCTGTTCAAACCGACTACGAGCCAGATATTGGTATACTTGGCCAGCGGATGCAATGACCTGCCCCCCAATGGAGTCCTCCTGCTGTACATATCAGCCGATGGACATATGCCACAGCCTCCAAAGCACGCTGAAGACGGTTAGTGAATAAAATTCCTATACGGTAATTAATTGTATCGAATTAAACAAATTCACTGCATAATAAACAACAACACAGCAAATAAACACTTCTCTGATTAAGAGCTTATAAAATCAATCAACTGAGTGTCAATCAATTTTTGAATTGTATCAATCAAAGAATTAATGAATATGCTAGCACATATATGTCGATAGAGTGAAATTCAGCATAATTACTTCTTTGTCCTTATTTTATTTTGTTTAGCCATGGTTCCAGTGAAAGTTACTTTACTAGTGAAAGTCAAAGTAGAGAGTACTATATAAGCTGTCTATGTACTCAAGACATTCACAACACACTTGTAAAAATCATTGCACCATCGAACTCTACGTGTTACGAGACATGTGAATCATATTGATTAATTATAAATACACTCTATAAAGTCCAATTCAGAAAATATAATGTGAATGGACATCTAAGTAATTTATATATACATATAAGGTGTAGTATTATTATTATATGCCAGGATTCCATGGGGTGGATTAGTTAAGTATACTGACCAACTTTTACTATGGGAGCAACACTGATACAAGCTGTTTCATACAAAATTGTATTATCGTTGACAGTATGTTGACTTTTTTAATTTGCTCGTTACAGTTGGCTACGACATGGGTGGTCTGATTACTACATCGAAAAATGACATCCATCGGGAATGTAACAGAGATCAGAAGACCCCAGGGTCATCTAAAGTGAAAGAGTTGCAATGTCTCTATCCAGGAGATTTAAATCCATTCACAAGAAGACCGTTTATCCTAATCGTGGACTCTGACAACTCTTATGCATTCCAAAATATACCGAGGCATTTCGGTCAACCGATGGTGATATTGATGTCACCGTTGGAATTGCCTACTTCATTCCATGGTAAATATATGAACAGTTTACCAGCATTCCACACGTGAACAGATGCGCTGCTAGAAGGCAACTTACTAAACATAATTTACGACAGTATTACGTAGGATCACGAATAATTTTAAAGAGGTATTTACGATTATCATAAATTTTTAGACAGTAAAAACTTGAGTAAATTCCTAGCATTTGTTAGATGCTAAGTACTCTAAGGAATGATAAACAATAGTCACACAATATTTCTTTCGTGTTTCTATGATGTGCTTCCCAGTTTTTTTACTTAGATATAGGCACCTTCGTTAGTTAGGTTCTCCTTTAGTTTAGTCCATTTTTCGTCGGAGCTTTCATTTTTCGGTTAGTAACTAGAACTTTCAATGTATGATCGACAGATCGCCGCCAACAAGGGAGCCTGTTCACCTTGTTTTTGCATTCCCCACTCACGGCGTTCTGTTATTGCTGCGACATCAGCAACATCTCATTGGCCAACTGGGACCGTGCTCAGATCCTAATAGAGACTTTCGTCGCGGAAGCTTCAACCATAATTATGAGGAGCAGAATCGGTTTGTACCATTTTGTATCATATGTTTATATATAATGAAATCGGATTTTTATATTTAAACTTGACTTTTTATGAAGGTCTGAAGAAAGACAAAGTTACAAACTTTTTATACTCGAATTGTACTGTGAAAACATTTTTTACGTGAAAACAAGCAAACGCCTAATTTTTTGATCAAAAACCTGTTTATATCATAATCCTCAAATAATTTATTGAATTGAATTCAGTTTAGACATCAACCTTTTTATGGACTACATATTTTATTTTAAATTTTGGAATTCGACACTTCTTTCCTGCCATGATATATTTCAAATATTGATTGGTACATATTTCAGATGTCTCATACATAATCTTTTTGGGTGATGACTTTTTACGGCTGCTGATACTGCGCTACATTTTCTGCGAGGTGGTTCTGAGGATGCATCGTGGTTTTCGTGCGCGCACCCATCTCCCTCGCTGTGTGCCCGCTCTGCCTGACGACTTGTTCGAGCACCCTACTTTCGTACACATTGTCATGGACCTGGCTAGCCACCTTCAGGTTTGCCAGCTTTTTTTAATTGGACGCAATAGGCAAAATATTTCTTAGTCATACTTTAGTTTTTATACGACTGAGTGAGTATGCATATGTGATTAAGCTAACCAGAATATCGACTCCATATAAGTAATGTTGCCCTTACAATTAGTAAGAATTTATTCATGCAAAATCAGTAATTTTGTTAATTTTTGTGATGAGGTTATTGTAGTATTTATTATGAAAATTATCACAAATGTCTTTTAAGTCTTAGCAGAAATATAAAGATATTCTTATAATTAAATTAATGAGATGTCTGACCTTTCTTCTGTTTGCATATAGCGCATCTATGTCAGCTGGAGTTTTAAAAGTGGCTATGCACAAAATGTCTGTATAATGGCTATCTGGTAAAGATGATATGGTTTTTGATTTGTTAAATTTCATGCTGGAAATCAGCTGCTCGCAAACATATTTACTGCCACATAAAGAAATCTGTTGAATAGCCAGCTTAGTAAGGTTTGGTTATTGATTGGGTGTAATATACTTTTTGTCGTATTCAATTTAGTTTGGAAAACAATTATAATATGCTGTTTTAAGATAAGAGGTGCTTTGCAATCTTATTAACACCAGCTGTAAATTCAGCACTGCGCCTTCAATTTCAACATCAAATTTATTTTGAATCAAAACTCGATCTTCAATCTTTATAACAATAAACACGTTAAGTCAAATCTAATTCATAATTAGTATAGGAAATTTTATAACAATAAATAAACTGTACTGAAATATAATTGAAAATTTTTCTTAATGCGATATTTTTTTATCAAACCTACATTACATATATATTTCAAAGTAAAATAACATTCAGATTGATTACTTATCGACGCTTAAGAACCAAGACCATCTATCTACAAAAAGTCGATTTTACAGGAGACGAAAAAAACGTTTCATATTTTTTCTACAACAATTTTTTTTATTTTTATATCTGATCAATTAATGGATAGGCATAGGAAATAAGGTGTTTGCATGTGTTTCAAGAAATCTTCATTAGTTTCAAGATTACTGTAGATAGCTGGTATTAGTTAAAATGTTTGCGTATGTTTATGCAGCTAACTGTAATATAGATGGTATTGGCAAAGGAAATAATATAGTTGCACAATGTATGCTCTTAGTACCTTCTTTAACATACTGCAATGTCGAATTATTTAACATACTGCAATCTTTAACATACTGAAATGTAGGCTTAGAAAGCCCTTGCAAATTTTATTCACAAGCTCTCCGTCTATATAAGTTAGGCACCTAAGGTAAGAATGTACTGTAAAAACTTGTACCAATAACTTAGGAAGTGTTTTAGTTACGCGGTACACACTCACGCCGAGAAGACTCGCCGGACCTTGAAGTGAAATAGTTGCACCGTTTACACTCCCGGTGAGTTCTCAAAAGATCTCTCCGTTCTCGGATATGGATGACTTTACTAGTAAAGGCGCTTTGGTATACATGTGCATTGTGACTGAAAAATAGAAAAATGAGGCCCAGATGAGAGTGGATGGTACAAATTAATCCAAATAGAAAAAGGTCGTTTAATATACAATGAACACATTAATAATTAAATATTCAAACCCACGGCGCTCTGTACCTCATATGTTCATAAGTTTTGAGACAAACTTTTCGATGGATGGAACGAAACCATTACGTGCAACTGTCATTTCGATATTTAAGGCGGGAAAAAAACCGCTGCAGATTTTCCGCGAGCTGAAAAGTTTTCCAGTAAGCCGTAACTTCGTCTACCACACAATACATACAAAGAGACAAGTTCACTGCAAAATTGCCAGAGGAGTGGTCGGCCACGCTCTGTCAGGACGCCTGCAAACATCAAAATCATCCGAGAGCGACTTCGCCGAAATCCATGTCGCTCACTCTGCAGACTAATATTTCGCGCGTTTCAGTGAACAGATTACTGAAATATGATTTTAAGGTAAAGGCCTATGCCGTAAGGTAAGCCGTAGTAAAATTTAATTTTTAAACGATCATCTTCGTAAGTTACGACGCGAACGTTGTCCATTGCTGCTGAGGAGACGTGATGCCAGGAACTCTTCACCGATGAGAAAATTTTTACTGGCAAAGACAAGTTTAACCAACAAAACAAATGGACGCTAAAAGTAGCAAGGATATTCCAGCTTCTGCACGGAATTGAAATTGAAATTCATTTATTCTAGAACAGACACAAGACACAGTTCATGTAAAAAAAATGACAATACACAAACTAGACAATAAAATATATATATGTGTGTGTGTGTGAGCGCGTGCGTGTGCGTGTGTTTTTTATTTATTAAAATATGCATTAATGAATGAAATTGAGAATTGAAAACATTACATATCTATAATAATTACTTAAAAATAAATCACAATGCAATTCAATTTGATTTAAGGGCACCTATGACCATTGACTAGAATAGTTCTCTTCAAATGGAAGAGAAAAAGCCACACCACAACAAATGCGAAAGTTTATGTATTAACGTTTGAAAGAAACCTATATATAAGAAATATCCATGTTGATATTACCCAGTCCTTGCTGCGCATTCATTAAATATCTACACGAGTGGTTTTTAAAAGTAAGCAAAGTATCACAATATGCACAAAGGCAGAGGAATGTTGTTCCAAATTTTGGAAGCTGCATATCGGAAACTTCCTCTGAAGGAATATCTCGCGCACTCCTTCATACGAAATTGAATTGAAAAGGTGTCACTCTGCTCCATTTCTGGCAAAAAGATGTCGAGGTGAAAGCCAAGAATTATCAGAGTGACATTTTAGAGCCTGTGGTGAAACCCCTGTCTGATACGTTATTTCATAATAAAGATTGGGTTTAGCATGACTCGGCGCCATCCCATTATGCAAAAAGCACCCAAACTTGGTTGAGGGAGAGTGTGCCGGCCTTCATCTCGGCGGACGAGTGGCATCTCTTATAGCGGGCAATCGACAACAATAAAAAATCGACAACAAACAGAGAAGATGCGAACCCGAGAACGAGAAGGCGAGAAACTTATCACATTCTCGTGTCTCGGGTGTTGGGACTTTTCGGCGTGAGTCTGTAGGGCCTATGTATGGGGCCTATTATGTTGTAACGCATAACAGTTCATTTTGCAACTCGCAATAAGAACGAATAATTACGTGTTATGTAGATAGGTGGTATTTCCATACAATTATTACGACACGTAACTAAGGTGATATTGGTATTTTCTCATAACTCCTTATATATTGCGAATTTGAAATAATCGATTAAAGGAAACGATGCGTAAATTAACCATGAAAAGAACTGCATTAAAAAGTCAAAATCGCCAAAAGTGTAGATAGATGGTCTTGGTTCTTAAGCGTCGTTATGCTGTTATTATCCTTATTAGGACGAAAAATAACGTTTAAGTTTACTTTTATTAATTAGGGACTTTAGTCGTGCTGTATTAAGTTGCAATCATATTAATATTAAAATAAAAATCTAAGTAATAATGATTAAGATTTCCAACTGAGATTCATTTATTACCTACTTTAAAAAAATTAGGCATTGCAAAGTATCAAAGCTTTTACTTTATATTATGAGTGATACACACACACCCGGTATTCAGAATAATAGTCATTTCGATCTAAACTATATTTCATTTATTACTAACGATACAGGAACAATTTTTTTTTGTTTACTATTATTTAATGAAACAGTCAGGGGAGCTTTAATTCTTATTTTATAGTAAAATTATAGTATATTTATTTTAAACCGAAATAAAACACATTTTTTAAATAAAATTTAGAAACCTCACTTAATTTGAATGATTAGAATTATTTTCACAATATTCTGTCCACCCAAATCCCATAGTATCGCATTAGTTTTATAATATAAATTATTAGATAGTTTTTGATTTTAATATTTTGCCTAAAATAATACTTTTAATTTTAAAGTATCAAAGTTATCAAGGTTGCGGACGCTAGGTGTCGCTGTAATC